ACGAATGAGGCTACTGAAGCTTCAATTTTTCGTCAAAATGTAGACGAAACGTCTCCAATTCGAATAGTAATTATCAACACGAATGAGGCTACTGAAGCTTCAATTCGAATAGTAATTATCAGAGTGAAAGATTGATTTCATTGAAGAATTGTAGCTTACAAATTTCGCGTCATTGTATCTGCAATGAGGGTATGTAATCGTGTTGATTTTGGTTAGTTGTAAAGTTGTCGATTCTTGTACGCTTTGTGATGTAACAAAGTGACCGGGGGCTTCAGGGCTGATCGCTGGTGCCTTCCGACACTTCAGAATGCCCCCACAGAATTAATGCGGAGGCTGGTCCACAGCCCGGAGGCTGGTTTTTGTGCCGTGTAATCTGTTATTTGCTGTGTGGTTATAAATCAGCGGAGGTGTCAGAAGGCACATGAAGTTCAAAGCGACTGTAAATATTCCACGAAGAGGGACGTGTGTGTACGTTTCCGGACCGAGAGGGGTGGACGGCGTCGCCTCGAAGGCCTGCAGCGACCCTCAGCGGTTTCAGGGCCCTTGCACAGATTGAACGCAAACATCTCCAGTGCAAATCCTCGCATGCCACGACGCCGAACGACAATGAGAGATCGACTCTCTTTACGAATCCGGTCTCTGCTGTTGTTGAAACGCACGTAATTTCGTTAAATACGCGTTACAAAATTTGGAAAGGCGTGTCCTTCGGGAGACACTGACATTTCAAAGGAATTCCTTAGGCCACATCACAGACGCCATTGTTATTGCAATAATGTGAGGTAATTGTTGCACTGACCACTTGGAAAAACACAGTTGATGACATGGAGATAATATTAAAATGGTTTTAAGATAATGGAGGGTATGGACTGAATATGTGCCTCAGAGTAGTTAGCGCTGGTAGGCTTTTGTGGTCGCGGTAATGAACTTTCGAGTCACGTGAAAGGCGGGGGATTACTTTTGGCCAACTGAACGACCGTCAGCTTCCCAGGAAGGGCCGTGTTGCATGCAGTAATATCCTTCATACAGTCCATTAAAGGAATGAATCTGACCAAACTTCGCTTTTGAGTGACATTCCGTAAGTTTCGGGATCAAAGCCGATACGTTTCGTGGTTTGCCTCAGTCCCTCCGGGAAATGTAGTCACGTTCGCTCCCTTGCGTATTCTTTGTCATTTATTGTTAATTAATTATCGCATTATTCAGAGATGTTTAGTCGGAGCTGCTTGGAGCGTCGTTAAATTAACCGCGAACAAGGAATTAGGATGTAAGACATGAGGTTCTCACAGCGGTGAGTATGAAGATTTCTGTCTTCTGGGTTGTTGCGCTGTGTAGTCTGGTCGATGTTAACCAACGTTTCAGAGGTCATACTGCCTCCGTCATCAGGGCGATGAATCGCCCTGATGACGGAGGCAGTATGACCTCTGAAACGTTGGTTAACATCGACCAGACTACACAGCGCAACAACCCAGAAGACGGATATCTTCAAGCAATTAGGATAATTTCGCGATGTGCTTATCATCGGAGCTGCTTGGAGCGTCGTTAAATTAACCGCGAACAAGGAATTAGGATATTTCGACCGGTATTCTTAACTCTAACCCTCTTTTCTGTAACACCACTTATTTGTGTCTGAAGCCTTGATGACAGACACGATTAAGCCAGTCGAATCAATAATAACTGTGAACAGCTGGGCAACTATTATGACCTCGTGGCAACAAAATTGTTCTCTCCGGTCTGGCTTATGGACGGACGGATCTAGACTCAGTCTTTCGCTGGTCGGCATTCATCCTCCGGTTCGCGGAATGTAATGTCAGGGGCTAATTGTTTTATCTGGCGAGTTAATTACTCCTCTGACGCATCTGGAGCTGTCTAACACTTGTTGTCTGTTTCATTGCAGGTCCCACATGTGGCCTAATAGCCTCACAGCTGGGTAAGTTGGTACAACGTATTTTCACTAGAATTCTTTGGATATCTGCTCAACTTCCTTTCAGCAAGCACGAGGTATAACATAATTTAAGCCCTAATCTCTTTTGACTCATCAAACTGGTATAAGTGTGCAGTGTAAGTACATTGAATTAAAAGGGACCTTCCTAACACGCACTTCTATTTTAAACACATGCTCATTTGTATCTCCAAACAGATCTCTGTCAATATTTTTACTAGAGTCAACCACGAATATATTGAGCTGCAGTGATTTTTCAACCCGGGGGTGGGGGGGGGGCGATTTGAGTAGATGTGACTTATTTATTTTTATGCTCTACTGATGTAAGTTTTAAGATTTTTTCCTCGCATTTATTAAATTATGTCTGTTTTGGTCGGTCTGCGTTCTGTTCAATCGAAATGTACGACGTGATTTTTAGGGGGGCCGTGGGGGGTGGGGGGTGCCAGAAGGGTCGAGGAACTTCGCTGTACTGCACTGGAACAAAGTGAGCGAACTTGCAAATTGCAGACAGAGAAATTGTCTCGCTTGCTGATGGAGTAAGGACAGAGATTTAATCGGCCAAGTAAACTTTACAGTCGGGGTTTTCCTCAGAATGACTTTTCAGCTTTTAATCCCCGAAAAGATCAGGTCGGCTGATTAGTGCTTTCAGGAGACTTAGCCAGTTCCCGAGGATGAGCCTTTGTAACTAAATGCGACGCTGAGACTTGGCTTAGCAGACGTTAAGTGCATTTCAGGGCGTCTTTTTGACGTTCCGGGTACAAGCGTCAAGTTTGAGAATCGATTAATGTTATTCGACGTGGTTTTCCGTCTGTTGATATGTTATTGTCTCTGTTCTTGGTTTGTGCAAGTGCGTCGGCGTGTTCTCTGATCAAAGACGGGCTGATTACTAAACAGAGAATTGAAGGGAATCGGGGAGGAGATGTCTAATTGGTCGTAGTATTCCCTCATTGGTCTGGATGGACTTCGAACCGAGTGGCCTTTTGTTCAAGCGCCGAATAGAGCGCCCCCTGAGGTAACAACGCGAACCTCACACCAAACGCAATTAGCAAAGCCGGCGCAGATGAAGAATCGAGCGGTGTCCTGCCCGATCTACGTTTCTGTTAGCCTGTTGAGTTGTTATCATGCATCAGGCCGCTTGTTGCTTTGTAACGCTCGCTGAATGGAGCAGCGCTGACTGATGGGAGACAATGGGAGAGGCGATTAACAGCGGTCACGTGACACAGGTGTCTCATCAGGCCAGCAAGCGGGAGGACGTAATCTGATTGCCAGCAGTTGTCCCGTTCAAAGGGCTTTGTCTGATCCGGTCGTGAAGACAGAAGTGTGTGCCAAATAAGACGGGGACACTTCTCGTATAAACGGAAACGATGCTGGGGACAGATCATGTCAATTATCAGTAGAAATCTCGGATGTAAAATCGCTTGAACTCGGAATTCGCATTAAACTTCCGAAGAACGCAAGACGACCAAATTTTTATTTTCCTTCTTTTTTGAATAAATGTTTTGGAGCTACGGAGGGGGATGAGGGAATGTTTAATGCGCTCTGAATACAAACTCGACCTTCTCGGTGTTGCTGTATAATTCTCACGCTTCGTACACCTACAAAGTGGAACGCACGTTCAGGGTTTTACTTACCTTGTCAGAGCATTCGCCGGGAAATGGAAGCTATTCGGCAAGCCCGCTCCACACTTCGAAATTCCCATGAGATATTCCTGGGAAAAAATATACTTGAAATTTTTCTGAGGAAGATTTGTAAGTTCTACGTTTTCTGACGGCTTAGTCGGTGAAATGGTTTGGGTACGAAGCCCGCCGAGGGAGCTGGGAACTTGTGTTTCGAACACTGTAGAATGCAGTAGGCCATGGGAAAGAGAATGATTTTTGTTACAGCGTGTTCTTTACGATCTGCCAACTTCCCTAAGATTTATATACGAATATGTGATGACTGTGTTTGTCGTCGTATGTGGAAAACTTCAAATATTTTGAAAATTTATTTTGATTTTTCCCCTTTTAAGGCCGACTGAGATGGCTGTCTTCTGGGTTTTAGTGCCGTGTAGTCTGGTAGAAGTTTACCGACGTTCATCACCCTGATGATGGAAGCAGCAAGAACCACCGAAACGTCGGTAAACCTCCACACCAGACTACACGGCGCTACAACCCAGGAGACAGAAATCTTCAGACTCACCTCAAATTGTACCATCCGGAGGATGTTCACGCAGACCAAATCAGTAAAATTGCTTGCAGAAGCCAACTTAATCTTAAGCCAACTTAAAAAAACGCACAGAACTTATTAGGCTTAAAACTTCTGTAGTTCACTTTTCCACGAAGACTGCAAATGGAGACGTATTGGGAAGTGGAGGTTTAACGTAAGTACACGTGTTCTTAACCTCGGCTCCAGATGCAGCTGGTCTCCCAGGGGACTGATATGTCACCAGGCTGACGTCTGGTTGTGACTGGAGGGAAGTTAGCTTTGGGGTTGGCAGTTATGAATTGCCTATCAGTATCAAACCCTCGACGCACGGAGTATCTTAAGTAATTTGTGAAAAGAGTGTGACGATCCTTGGGGCGAGGCGAGGGGGCCCTGCGCATTGATATTACGATGCGAGAAATAGACCGTTTATTGTAAAGGGACGCTTTAAGCACCCAAGAGTACAAATCTAACGTAAAGCATCTGAAAGCAGTAATCCCAGAACGGAGGTAACAAGAAGTCGTAGTGCGGTCTTTAATAAGCGAGCAACTTACGGGTTAGGCGCACTGGCTTTGATCTATTTTGAGTTTTTAGGGGCTTAAGGAGGGGCTTGCATGGGGCGCCTGCGCCCCAGGGGGCACCAGCCCCCTTCAGTGCCGGCTGAGCAATTCGTAATGCACGTTACAAACCAAAAATTTATCGAGTCAAGAATTTTAAGTTGGACGAAAAATGTAAGGTTTGCCCAGGAGACTCGCGTTGGTTCTTTTTAGGAAAATGAAAATGGCGGGGTTTTTGGCCTGTTTTGCGAACTTCGCGTGTCGAAACGAGAGGGCTCACCCACTGTGTGGGGCCGTCACTCAGGTAGGCTCTGACGCCATGCAGCTGCACACCGATGTTACTTCAGCCCTGAACATGGAAGAAGTTTGTTTCTCCGAAACGTTGATATGTCATGTAATGTTAATCTGCTGAGGCAGACTTAGGGCCGAAATGACTTGGCCGATGTTTTCCAGTCTTTGCTCCTGGTGAAAGGACTTCCATCGACAGGCGTAATCTGGGCCGGGCGAGTAATTAAAACTCTGATCATCACAGATGTGCGAGTG